GGTTTAGGGTTTAGGGTTAATTTCGGGTTTAGGGTTTAGAGTCGGTCTCCGTGCATACAATCAATCTACCGCTCCTCCCCCCTCGATTGGGATCTACTGTTGCTACCTCTGCCGGTGTGTGCCCTCCCTACCTTGATTTCTCACATGTGCATATACCTACACATCAAGTTAAGTTTAACACACATGCATGCATATAGATAACAAGAATATATACATATATACATATGTATATGTATGCACACACATACATACATACATACATACATACATACATACATACATACATACATATGTCTATGTACTTGTATATGTATATGTACAAGTATAAGTATAATGTATATGTGTATGTATATGTATGTGTGTATACACACACATACATATATATATATATATTCGTATGTATATATATATATATAGATATACATATGCAACGTACAACCATAGACGCCGGGAGTGTCAGAGCGTTTTTCGAGCTTTTATCGCTCTCCAAGACTTCAATAAACATGCAGCACACCCAATATTAGTGAGAACAGAACACACATACCACCCGCTAACACGAACAGAGTAATCCCAAATGCCAGAAAAGGCTTAACAACAGCAACAGTAACGGCAACAACAAGCAAAACCAAGCGATAATCGCCAAAACAGCAAGGACCAAGATGATACCATCAAACGAACATATGCCAACACATACGAAGAACACCTGCAATCATGTCTCCAGTCCCCGTAGATCCGGCGCCAACTTGTGGAATTCATCGAAATGTTGGTTTTGTTTATTGAGGGGGCTTCCCGCACGAAATTGCGTGTGCACAGGCTCCACAGGACACGATATTCGCGTGTATTGCATTGCAAAGGGGCACTGTGGCTGCCGACTGTCCAGCGCTGGCGGTGGTATTTCGGCGTTTGAGGCTGTGTAAAATACATGGATTTTTTTGTTTATGTCTGTATATATATATATATACATGCATATGGTGTGTGCGTATGTATGAACATGTGTAGTGGTGTGTATGTGTCTGTACATACATATAGATATGTTGTATAGATATGTTGTACACACACATATACATATACATATATATATATATATATGACATCTAGCTTTTCGGCATGAAAGGATTGCTTGGGCCGCAGGCTTTGCCAGCTGGCTGGACATGGGAGCGCTGGCAGGTCGTCGACGTCAGCCATTTGCATGTGACTGGGGCTTTTCATGGTGGGCATGTTATACTTTGGTATAGGTGTAAACATATCCAGCGATATTGGTACACATGTTTGCAATCCCGACAGTAACATCTCAGGTTTAACTCAGGATTTTGAGTTTAGGGTTCTTCGCGCTTGCGCAGTAATCCTAAAAGAACCACCGCTTACATCTTGGAGCCCAAACTCTAAATTCAAAATAACTTCCCACCCTCATGCATCGTGGTGTTTCTTTACATAGAACAAGACCGCCGACGGCGTCAACCCGCACGTTCCAGGTGGTTGGACCTTCAATGGCCTGCGGTGACGAGGCTGTTACTGAAAATGATTGTTGCCTATGCTTCTGTATATTTTGGGTTTAGGGATCTTTCCAAGAAGATCACAAATTGGAATGATTAGAAAGCCCAGGTGAGGGACCGACGAGTTCAACGAAGTGGCACACGTTAGCAGTGGGATCAATCTCCGCCTTCTCCTCGCAAGCCCCGCGAGCCTTTCAAACACAACGTGAAGCATGCGGAGGCAATCTGCGTGCCTGCTTAAACATACTGTCTTAAACAGGCCCGTTTAGTGTACCCACTTCGACGGACATGGTGCGGTCAAAAGAGTCAAAATGCTGTCTGTTTTTCTACACGCTTTAAGGGTTTCGAGTTCAGGGGTTTAGGATTTAGCATTTAAGGGTTTTAGAGTTTACGGCTTCGAGTGTGTATCATTGGGGTTTAGGGTTACAGTTGTCGCTACAGGCGGTCGGGTTTCGGATCAAGCCTAAACTGGAATTTCCAACCGCCAGCAACAAAATCGATTCTTATCATATCTGCCCCTGTGCACGCTGCCCCGAGCTGCGATCAGAAGCGATACGGCCCCAAAGCATGTCGTCGATTGATACTGGACGCACTTCTAGTAGTTTTCGCCACAGGATGTGTGACCTGACGAGTAGTCCTGGGAAGGGCTTGGTTTCAGCCTCTCTGTGCCAGAAACCCAAAGCCCGAAACCGTTGTGTGAAACACCAGAATAGTCGGGAACTTTGGAAGCAAAACGCAGGAGCCGTAGCCCATAATCCAAAAGCAGGCCCCAAAATCCAAAACTTTTCATCCCCAGAAGGCCTTCAACAACTAAACCCTAAAAGGGCTTTGCACTTAGGGTTAAAACTCAAGCTCTACGCAGGCCCTCAAAACCCTCCAACCATATCCACCTTGAGGCGCAGATTGGCTGCCTGAACTTGTCCGACAGTGCTATCCGAAAAGCGGGCTCCACGTATCGTTCTGCTTGGATCATGTTTAGGGGCTCGATCAGTGCCAAAGTCTAAGAAATATCAGTAGAGTAGGAACAAGTTTAGGTATTTCTCCTTGGTAAAGATGAGTGAGATGATCGGCAACAGCAATGGCACTGTCCTTCCCGTGCTTCGTAGCCAGACGGCGAAGGCACATGACATCTGTGGTCGCGCACGGTCCGTGTACAAACACTAGTGTTGGTAATCATGATTTTGGCGATGTGGCATAAAAGCTAATATCTTGAACCAGGCGCTGGCCTTGCGGCGAAAGCCCAGCGTAGTATGAAACAACAGACCAAGACATAGTAAATTCAGTAGACATAGAATAGACATCAACAGCAACAGTAACAGCAACAGCATTCAGCAGCAACAACAACGACGACAACATCGTGGCCGTCGCCGAACCCTTCTGCCATTGAGAACAACAGCAACAACTGCCGCGGCAGCAACAGCAGCAATTGCAGCTGCAAAAGTGCAGCCACGGCAGAAGAGGTAGCAACGTCATGAAAGATAGCTTAACGGCAGCAGTAGCACCATCCCTAGCACCACCACCGCCCCCCGCCGCCACCACCGGACTTACAACACAAGCTTGCGTGAGTTTGTGGTCAGGTCTTTGGTACCACAGTAAGGAAACCCACCGGCGTTCACGTTTATCTAGTTATCTTTTCTTCGGGCGGGTTTCTATCGGCCAAGGGCAGCAGTCGAATGTTGTGCTGTAGTTCTCGACGGTTATGGGCTGAGGCCTCAGCATTTTCAAAAGCCTTCCTCATTGTAGCTATCGTATAACACCCAAATACCTGGTCTCATAGCGCCCCATATGTTGGCAATGCTGCGAACCAGTTGTCTGCAAAACTTGTCATCGAATGCTTTCCCCCTCTCACGGTGCTGTCGCAAGCATCTTGCTGTGGGGTATCCTGAGGCATTCCCGCTTGAAATACTGTTGCTTTGTCGGAAGGGCCATCCTCACATGTGCACGCATGCAGCGCCCTGAACCCTAAACCACCCAAACTCCTTCTCCCGAAGCCGCGTACACCAGATCCGGGCAATGTTGCCTGCTTCTTTCCCACCCACGCCAACAACCCCGGCGACAGCTCCTTCTATGAATACCCTAGACACGACTTTTCTCATGGCGCTTCGCGTGACGCCTTTGGGTGCAGCCCAGCAAGTTGGCCGCCGGGCTCAGAGATGTTCGTTTTATCATGCAGCTGAAGGAGCTTCAGGCTTCTACCATGTGCATCGTGGCATTGCGCGTTGCAGATTCGCTGCATGGTTTCCTGTCTTAGTGTGTCTTGCGGTAATATTTGAGGCCTAGTTACAAACTACATGTGTGTATAGGTGTGTGAATGTATGAATGCGTGAATGAAGGAGTGCAGGAATGAAATGAATCAAAGAATCAATGGATGAAGGAATGAAATGAAAGCAATGAATGAATTGATGAATGAATGAATGGAATAAATGACATGAATCAATGGATGAAACAAATTATTGGAAATTAAATTAAATGAAATCAATGAGTGAGTGAATGAAATGAATAATGAACGAATGAACGGATGCATGCGTGTTTGTTGGGTTGTATGTATGCAGATACATCGGTATATAGGTATAGGTATATGTATGTACGTACGTATGTACGCTTGCACGTATGTCTGGGCTGTGTCTGGGTGTCTAAATGTATATGTGGATGGGGGGTCGTATGAGCGCTGTACGTATGTATGTAAGTATGCATTTAAGTATGCATGTTTGCACGCACATANNACACATACACATACACATGCACATATCCATATACATACACATACATACATACATACATACATACATACATCCATCCATACATACATACATACATACATACATACATACATACATATATGACATGTATGTATGCATGCATGTATTTGTATATATATATATATATATACAGATATGTATATATGTACGTATATGTATGCATATATGTTTGTGTATGTATATGTATACGCATATGTATGTATATGTATGTGCATATGTGTATGTGTATGTGTATGTATATGCAAATGTATGTACATGACTACATTTATACGCAAGTATATTCTGTGTATGCATGCGCGTATATGTATGTGCATGCATGTATACGTATGTACATGTACATATGTACGTACGTTTGTGTGCACGTATGTATGTATGTATGTATGTATGTATGTATGTATGTATGTATGTGTGTGTGCGTGTTGATGGATGCATTCGTGTACTTATACATCTATGTATTTCCTTATGTGTAGTAACATGTATTATGTGGTTCTATCTTTGTGCGCCTGTACATATTGATAGAGATAGTAATACAGGTACGTGTGTCCATTGCCTTGTGGCGGTAGTTATTCATCTATTTGTGTAATGAATAATTCGCACCATGCGGACAACGCATCTGCTTGCAGGTGGCAGGATCGGCATTCGAAGCCACTTTCAGGCTAAAGGCCCTTCAACTGGTTTCTGAGGATGCAACGAACTGGAGTGGTTGAAGCTTTTGTCACCTGTGCATGAAGAGACATCTGACCTACAGTAAAGCGATGGACCCGACCCTTTTCTGAATCCGAGGTCGTAGCTCAAGCGGTCTCGAAGGCACTTGGAAGTCGCAGTGGCAAGCCAGCGCGACTGACAAACACAATAATACCACATTGGATTGGGCAGGTTCGGAAGGCAGATTGAAGAAACCCGACAAACGCCGCTTGTGCCCCTCAGCTGCACGCGAGGTATGTGCAGTGCCAGAGCAGTGTGGAAAATCATGCACCGGCACGTCTTGTCAGAGACAGTTCTTGCAGCAGCAAAAGGAGACTGTGGCAGTCGCATTTGACATTGCCAGGCTACTGGTGCTAGTCGAGCGGAGTTGTCCTTTGCTCCTCAGGTCAGACAGGGGCCTTGCAGCGTGCTGCGCAAAGCCAGTCTTACAGCTGATTCATCCTGGAACAAACACCCCGACCAAACACTCCACTCGTCTCGAAAGCTGGAACAATCAACCGAATATGGTGTTTCGATTCGTGGCAAGCCAACTACAAGACAAGTCAGGAAAGTGAGACAAATGATCTGTGAGACTCTCCACTCTGCTCTTGTCAAATCCAAGGTACCCAAGCCGGCTGCCACGTTCGCTCATGATGACATCAAACGAAGTCATCATCCATCGCAGGCTCTGCTCCTGAAACCAACCCAAAGAAAGCCCGCCGCCAGCTGCCATCTAATTGCTCTTCACAGCACTCCTGCTGGCTCACCTTGAGCTTTAGGCACAGTGATATGGGTCGCCAACAGCTGCTCCTGCCAGGCGACCCAGTCATGACACGACAAGCAATATTTCACACAAACCATCGAGTCCTGGATCCACCGCATAACGTCAGCATAACCTTGCTGCAGCGATGAAAAGTTCATACATGACACTCCTGTCCACCAACAGCATGCAGCAAATATTGCACCGTAGACGACGCTTTTTCGCGCAGCATATTTCCGCTGCAGCTGGGATCCGCGGCTGCCAGGCTTGTTCAAGCACTTTCAACCTCAAGGCTTCAGACTCTGAAAACGAGGGAACACCAAGAACTCCACATTGTTCGACAGCACCTGTGCAAAGATATAAACACTGCAGCAGATGGCAATATACAGACCAAGAGCTTCTGTCCCTGCAGCACCGGTCGTGCAACATGGCGAGGTTCGATTCAGGAGGCACTGCCAGGAAAAAGCTTGCACACGCGAAACACATCCACCCGTTTGACAGTTGAAGAGTGCTACGAAGGGCAGAGTCCGATGATTCAGGAGCGAACAACCAAAGGGATGACAATAAAAACACGAGGACTAGCTTCGGGGGCCCCATCAGAAGCCGCAGAGCCCGAGACCGACACTTGCCTTCCCATGTGACCCAAGCCCCGAACAGCCAGCATCCACAACAACAGACTCCAACCGAGGAAGCCACCGACTTCTTCTCCGCGGGTGCGAGGGGTGTCGTCTCAGAGGGTTTCTCCTCCCAGATGGTCTAAGTGAGTGGAACTCCGGTAAAAAACGGAAGCAGAGTCCTGAGAGCACTGCTCCCTGAGCTTCAGATGGCTCCAAAGGGCGATGCCACAGATGGTGACCTGGATCATTCTGACGATCTCTGCTGTTCAGCGACCCTGAGAAACGTAGGGAGCTGGCAGTGAAGCCCATGTACTGCTGGTGGGAAATTGGATCACCGAACACCAGGCTGGAACTGGCCACGATGGTGACATCCTGGCCACACGCAAGCAGACGGGAACGCAATGAAAAGACAACAATTGAAAAACAACTGCCTTCACAACACCAATGATCACGAAGGCGAGGGCTGAAAGTCTTTTGAGGGTCAGGGCGATGAGCACGTTGAGGCAGAAAGCAACTGCAGCATTCAGGAGGACGACCCACCACATGTTCACGAAGTCGTGAAAGACTTCCGGTGACCAGGTGGAAATGACTCCGGCCATAAGCGGAACCAAAGAGAACGGTGCTTGAAAAAGGACGAATGTCAGGACATCAAGTTTGAGGCCTGCACCAGTGAGAATGATTTCGCCCAGCAGGTTTTTGGAAGATTCCGCGACTTGCGATGACAACTGAAAGACGAGGCCCAGCATCTGGAATTTGATCTCTCCATGGGCACAGATGCAGCAGCCGGTGACGACGATGGACAGAATCATCAGCTTCTGCCAGCTGAAGGTCTGTAGCCCGAGCAAGCAAGATGCGAAGAAAATGAAAGCAATATTGCCCTGCTTGCAGAACTGCAGGAAGGCAACGCTAGAGTAAAAATATGCCTGGTTGGAGCAGGCCAACGCGACGGCGAACAAGACACCCAGTGGCACCAGATATCGCATCAACAAGCCTCGATTCTCGATGGCCTTGCTCATCGAAGGGTAGATGGACGGCGCAGCACCGTACAGCATCACGGAAAGCATGGTCGTCATAGCCATGTGCACTGCAGTGAGGTGCAGGGCGTGAGGAAAACGACCTTCATGCATCAAGTACTTGTTGAACGTAATGAGTCCTGCCGAAACCTCAGACGCATGCAAGACATCTCGATGCTTCGTTTGCCAAGGCCTGCACGTTCTTCAACCGAGCACTTTTACTAAGGCCACCAAAGAGCAGATATGTAGGCCCCACCAATAACCATCACTTCCGAAGCTTTGCGAGCGAACTCGGCAATGTCTGTGCTCGACATGTTGCCTGGCTGCCTTAGTGCACTCGCAATTCTCCACCAGATTCAACACTTCGGTTGGGATTCCTCAATGTGCCACGAGTCTCGTGCCTACGACTACTCCTATGGGAGGCTACTGCTACTGCTACCCTACAGTACTGCTACTGCCACTGCCACTGCCACTGCTGCTACCGGCGCCGACGACGAAGTGGATTCCATCAAAGCTTCTTCTTCTTCTTCTAGTCATAGCTGATTCATTCGCAAACTCAGCAGACAGAAGTCAAGGGCTAGAAAACATTGTTGGCGGCGTGATGCAGACACGAAAGGTCAGCGGAGGCGGACGGAGCAAAAGTATTTACAGAAAGAAAACTACAAGTACAACAAGAGACGAAAGATACAAGTCAGATCAAGGTCTTTGTCTCAACCGCAACGGTCTTTCAAATTACGAACAGCACCAGGCATGTCCGCACAGCTATGTCAACAACGCTTTGCCCGTGTCCAACGTGCGAGTGCTAACAATGCCAAGATAGACCAGCACAGCCAAGTCGCAAGTAGTTCTAGTTTTGGTACGATAACTGAAGACGGTGCGAAGCACCGAAGCAAAACATGTACTAGTACGGCGTGATTGACTGGGCCGAAATGGCTACGCCAAGAACATGGTAGAAATGTCCAGCTGCATACAACAAATCTTGCCGGACTCAGCCATCATCGTAACAGTGCTTGAGACGGGCACCCTTGCGCTCCATCACACTGCCTTGGGGCCGCAGGGTTGCTCGGGCTCACGGACGCAAGTCTCTCCCTCTCACCTGCTCGTTGGTGCTGCTAAGATACACATGAACACCTCGATGTTGCGATCCGAGGATTTTGGGACGCCCAGGGCACCTTCGCAACGTGCCGTGTTCATGCCGCTATGTCGCGAAACTCCTTGCAATCGGATCGGCACCAGAAAATTCTTCCTTCGATGCCGCACCGGGCAGGTCCACCTCGGAGCAGCTCCCCAGGCACAGCACAAGCAAAGAGGTCTCCCCGGCCTTCTGTGCCAGCACTGCAATCGGCACAGCATTCAGAGCCTTCTCCTCAGAGGCATGCAGACTCTGACATCGGGCCCCCAGCGGCCCCACTCTCGCCTGCAGGAGCTGCTTCAACTCCTCTGCTGCCTCTGGAAACCTCCACAACGGAGCAGGCGAGGTCTTTCGAAACAAAGAGCATTCTCCACGCGCCACAAACTTGTCGAGGGTCGTGCAGTTGGCAACATGCCTGCTTCTATCTGCGGAGTCCACCAGGAACACGATGGCACTGGCAACTGGAAAGTAATCCTGACGAGGCACTTGACTTTAGCTGATCTGACTTTGCCTTGGGGAAGGGCCGAAACCATGCAGAAGGCTCTTCTTGGGCTTCCGTCCTTCCACAAGCGCCTGCCGATCTCGTGACCGGCGAGGTCAAAGGCCTTATATCGGACCTTGCAGGGCCCATATCTCATGGACTGCTCAATGAGCCGGAATTAAATTGGCAAGATACACGAGAGGCTTCAATGCGTCTAGGGCTTCGAAGGCTTTGTGGCTACACCCAGGCTGTTCCGATGCCAACAAAAGCTGTTCCGAGGCAACTCGGCCACAGCCGCCATGTCGGCACTTACTCAAAATGGGCACGCATTCCACGGAAATGGCCATCCAGGCCTTGTCGATAATTAGCTCCTCGCTTTGTGGGTGCAGAGTTGGGACTTGTGCCACCATGCGGTCCTGAGATCAAACACTTGAGCCTTGCAAGGAGGGGTGTCATAAGATCCATCGCTGGGCAGTTGGGAAGGCGAGGCTCGACCACAGCATCCTGAGCATAAGCCGGGCTACCTGAGACCGAAAGCCCGCGCAGTTGGCCAGGCAGGCGAGAATCCGGAGCATCATGAGCATCAGCTGCGCCGTGGGCGACCGTGAGTATCCGATGGAAGGGCAGGCACCAGGAGTAGCATGCGACAACCCGGCGCCAATTCGTCGCAGTGATGCGCTGCACGGGCTGCGATCTGAGACTGAAGCACCTTGTCACCTACACCTGCTGCAAGTTGCACACATTACGGAAAGCAGCTCATGCATGCATGCAAGTGGCGTTCTTCAGCATCTGCAGCAAAGTCGTTTTGCCTGTGCGACAAGCTGACGCGCCGTCATGTCTCCAGGCAAAGACATCGACAGCTGGACCCAAGCTACCAATCATTGTCGGCGTCATCAAGAAGTCATGAATCCACATAAAGCCGCAACACCGTATGGAAAGGCCTGCATTGTCCAAACCCAAGAACAGCAGGACAGCATCCACGGTCTCATCCGTGACATCGAACCTCGTGTCCCCCCAAGACTTGAAGACCTCTACTTACCTACTCTACTTCTGGCGGCTTGTGCGCCAGCTCGGCCCCTCTGAGAGATCTGGGCCCTGGGCAGGCTCTCCTCCTGTAGCGCCACAGCCGGCAAGGGAAGCTCGGCCTCCACCTCTTCGCTGACCGCCGCGGCCGCCATGGAAGCAACCAAACCCAAGACAAGGGTCTTAGACTTCTCGGCTCTGAAGGGCCTGAGGGGGTGCAGTTGCTGCTGGGATGATGCGATGCTGAAGCTGCTGTATCTGATGGCACATGAGGGCTCGGACCAAACCTGCATCACTCATCCGGGACTGAAGCAGAAGCATCAAGTGAAGGCTCTCGGATGAAGTGTATGTGGCAGCGAGGCCTGATGCTGTCCTCTGACGACCGCTTTGGCTGCTGTTCCTGCTTGTGCCAAAGCCTCATGCGTCGTTCAACAAACACCCTTCGAAGCTTTCAATGCTTCCAGATCCCGGCCCCCACCCTGCAGGCAGTCTTCCGAGGGAGCTGCTGCAGACATGCGTGTGCGGCAGACACTGTACGAGCTGCAGGATTGGGCAGCCTGGTCACAGGCGTCACAGGCATGCTCTACGAGTACCCAAACCTGGGTAGCCGCAAGAGGAGGGCCTGAGAAGCACGTGCACATCCGGTTGACCGCGTTGCTGCTCGGATGGAAGAACACTCCTTCACTTTCGCTTGCAGCAACCTCGAAGGTCAGGAAAGGTCCCATCACCAACGCAAAACACCGCAAGAATGACACGAAACCTGTTGTGCTCCGTGCAGCCCGACGTTTCATTTTCCCGTTTGTCCTCGGAAACACGCTCAAGGAACCACTGGGAGCTCCGGCACCCGGCACTCAGATCCAGGCAACCGCCTGCGCTTGCAGACCTGAGTTTCTGGGAATGCCGCCGACGCCAGGATTTGGGACTCTTGCACTGCAGATGCAACATGCGCAGAAGCCCCCGAAGTTGCACAACAAAATCAAGGAACCCCAGTGCCGACATATGCCAGAATTAGTTCCAAACGTATCAAACACAAAGCCTTGAGTTGAGTTTCCAGGGTTGGGTATCGCCATGGGAGGTGAATCCAAGTATGAAGCATCCCGCCATCTGTACAGACAATGGCATGCAACAGACCCGACGGCTCAGTCTGGGACACAAGTCAAGCGCATGTCGAAGGAGATGCTCGTCAGCTTGACAGGCCTCTGAGATTGGGCATGGGATCAGAACTTCAACGGGTGATTGCCCTCAGACCTCCTTCGTCCTTCGGTTGCTGCGAAGTAACCGTGTTGGCTCAACGAGGACCCTCAGCCACCGGCCTTGTCCAAATGCAGCCACTGGTTGTAGAGTTCAGTGAGCTTCAGCTCACTCTCAAGTCCTGAACGGTAGAGCCGTGGAGCACCGCATGCAAGAGCAGCAGCTGAGCTATCAGCACAGCTCGATCAACGTGGTGGCAGAGTGCTTGTCTTCATAACTAGAGTAGACGAAGCCATCTGTGAACCCACAAGGGGGAGATCCTTTTTGTGCCAAGACTCGCAACCGAAGCTCAGCATCGCAAGTAGAGAGCCTGATCGAATGCTCCTCCAGAGATCTTTCCACCGCAGATCTCCCACGAAGCTTCGAAACATCCGGGCTCCTCTTGCAAGAAGCGAAGGCTTCCATGGACTCCTTTGGCTCCGAGGCTCGGATCTGAGACCTGTCAACTCAAAGCGCCTTCGGATGCCTCTTGCGCAGACCCTTAAGGTCCCGACCACGCTTTCCAGTTGCCCTAAGAAGCTCGCATTGTAGCTGGCCTGTCCAATTTGGAGTGTTCCACACACTGAACGCAACAATGGCCAATTCTCCGAAATCTTCCAGAGGTGCAGTCGACATGCAGGAACTCCCGGGCAGGACATCTGCACTGCAAAGAATCCCGGAAGGGACACCTTGCTGGCCACTTCTAACAAGTCCTCGAGGAGCGGTGCGCGTGCCTGTCACAATCACCAAGGTATGTCCAACAGATACCGATGGGCGACAAGGCTCTGACTCTGTTGCACCATGCCTTCCATGGCTCTGACTCTAGCGGCGGCTTCTGCCCGCCTTCTTGCCAACTTTGGAAGATTCGGATTGGTGTGCCGCCTGGCACACGGCATTTCCTCACCTACGCGCCTTCTGACTTTTGGATCCAGGCTGCCTTCCGAGGCGGTAAGCGCCGGTTTCCGCTCTGTAGAAGTGCCGTGCCTGCTCACAACTCTTGCACCAGCCAGCGCTGCAGTTCGGTTCGTAGGTGCGAGGCCACACTGAAAGTCCTGACTGTCGGGGTCGCCTCCAGAGCTGCTCTGTTGCCGCTGATTCCAAGATCGACTTCGTGAGGAAAGCCACAGCGACAATTACGATTCCACACAGCAAAGAAGCCAAGACCTCCTCGCCCGAGCGACGCCATGCCCCGAGGCCCAAGGCCGCGACGCAAGCAAGGATCGTCGTCCACCAAGGCATATGCAGGCGACCTCACCGCCTGCATTTGTCACTGTCAGACATCACGAACTTAGACACAAAGCAGCAAGCGGTGTCCTTGTCACAGGAGGTGAGCTCGATGCATATCCTTTCACGCGATAGCTACTGGCACAGCAACACCACGACTTGCCAGAATGCGTGCTCTCTTGCACAATTGCAAGCACCAGAAACCAAGCTCCATGCACCAACAACGGCAGAACATAGCCGTTGCGCATCTTGCCGCCTGCGTGCATTATTCACAAAGCGCGAAGTGTAGGGTGATGCAGGTACCTCAGCAACACAAAACTGCACCTGCGCAGACCGAGCACTCAATTCCTCAGTCCACCGTGTCAAGACAAGACAAGACAAGATGTCTGAAAAGCAGCGGTTTGGCAAGTCCGGCCAAGCTTCAACACACCAACGTAGAAATGGATCAGCTATCGGTTTTCATGTCTTCGGCACAAGGGGTTCCGTGCCTTGAGCCAGATGGTTGCACATGGGCAGATTGCACACTGGCGATCTGCGTTCCAAGGAGTCCCACTCTGACCGTGGATAGAGCGACAAAACATGACACAGCCTTCTGCTGCTCAGAGTATACCCTGAGGCAGACTAACGTAAGATTGAT